GTACAATTGGTAAAAATGCTAAGTCATGACTATACAATGATAACTTTGGGTAAATAAAGATAGATGAATGGAGATTCTATGAATGCACCAGTCATTCGGCATACTCTTTGCCATCAAAGGCATTATGATCTACCGAATTTTCAATAGAAAGATGACTAGACAAATAATTTTGGAAAATTACGAATTAGAGAACACTGAAAATTAAGTGATATGCTGTTTCGGCTATGAAGAGATACCTTCAAATTCTAGCTGAATGACTATTATTCATAATAGATAAAACAGCAGCTCAGGGAACACTACTAACTGCAAATGATTCAAATGTTTCTCAATACAACACCATAAAGTCTTAATCTTATAAGGGCTTTTCCAAGGTGACCCATGAAGACATAAGTATCTCTCTTCCATGTTTTATTTCTTTAAGCAAATTCTTAACAACCTTCTGTTACTATACACCATGGACTGCTTCAAATTTTGCAAAATTATATTCATACTCACATACTTTTGATTGATATGAGTGACTGAAGACTACTCATGATAATCAGTACTGCTTGTCAGACAGAAAAAAATGATGCAAACATAGTCGTTTTGCTTGTCTAGCACTAAGCTCATCAGCCGTGTACTAGCATTGAACCAGTACAGTGGTTCTTCTTTTCTTTTCCTTCACGTTCCCAGTGGAACATAGGGCTTCAAGCCAGAGGCCGGGGATCGAACCCCGGACCATGTGCATGGTCGGCGAGCGTCCTAACCACTGTGCCACCGACGCACAGTGGTTCAAGTCAGCCAAAACCAATCGATTATGGCTTCGGTCACAAACCAGCAAGACGATCACCTGGTGAATACATGACTTTCAATGATCTAAATATTCCCGTAGTATATGGAGAACAAATAAATTAGCTTGTCACTTATTTGTTTATTCACACTGTACCCTGTGTTCCTAATGACTATACGTTTTTATACATTTGGTTGAAAATCTTAACTAACAAACTATAATTCCATCTTATACTCTAACTCAAATACAGTTTCTGATATAATTTTAATTTGCCTTTATTAGCTATTGTAATCCATTTTTCATTGATCTATAAATGTAGAGGTTGACAAAGAAGTTATTGAAAGTGATTGTTCGCTGAAAAAATTTCTTGTTCTGAATATATTTCGCTTTAACTGGTGAGAGTGGTCTCTAACGTTTTACTCTAGTTTTAACAGACTAAGTGATGAACAGATGCGTCACGCTGGATTGAAGTTACACAAGATCTGTTAAGAATAGCACCCTGTGTTAGAAAGCTCCAAACACATGACCTAACAGATTTTACTAAGTGAAAACTAGTTTGTAGCTTTTGGCGTAAATCATTATAGAATAGAAAATCCTTGTAAAATATTTCTTACTTTAGAACTCCAAGGCAGTTTGCTTACACGATAAATTATTTGATGGAAATATAAAACTTAGTTTTAAAAATACTGACAACTAAGTTAGTGAAGCTTTAAAGATTTTATTCATTAAAATTTGCCTTTCGAAACTGATCAATTTCACGTGCAAATAACCTGGACATTGGGTACGCTTTGAGTCATAAAATTTGTCGCTTTCCTAGGGATAACGGAATTCTATGATGCACAAGAAAGTGATTTATTAACAAAATTATTAACTCACTGTAATTTTCACTTGAAAATTTATGAATACGTTGAAACCTAGTTGACATATACATCATGTACTTCATTCAGTAAGTTAGCAGGTGAGGAATATTTGAACTTTTGACTCGAATCCGCCGGAGATACGGAACTTTGTTTCAGTTTCAAGTATTGTTTATACTCTAGAAATCATTTTCTTTAATCCAAGTAGACTGCGATATTTAAATTAACAGTAGTGGTTACTATGATAGTTAGTACTAGCATTGAACTTCCCATACACTTAACAAGCTATCCAAGATTTAATATTTGATTGTGGAAAGTTTGTCGAAAAGCTTAACGATTTCATCAGCAATAACGTTAATGTTTACCTTACTATGAGATACCAAACCTTAAACAACACCCAAAAATAATTACTTTATTAGGGCTGTGCAGGACCTCCTTACTGTTATAAAAAACTTTTATGGGATTTTTAAATGAAAATGTCCATTAAAAGTTTTTCAAAAGAATGGTTATTGAACAAAGAATATTTTTTTGTATAACTTCATCATCAGGTTCTACAGTTATATAGGCATAATAGTGAATGAATTAGTGTTATTAGGAACATTAATGTTTGTTTAAATAACATCCAATCAATAATAATAATATCAATGGTTACAGTTTGATAGCATCAACATAACAATACACTGAATATCAGAAAAATTACGAAAGATCCTACAAATTCATGAATTTATAGTCTCCACTGAAGGCTGGCCAGGGCAGTAGTAGTGGCTGGACTTGCTTCTTCTGCACACAGAGCACCGGTTGTTTAAGGCCTATAGCCTCTGCTGTTTGGAGTATGCGGTACCTGGATGTTATGTGGTATGTTATATATTGTGCAGTAAGTTACAAAGGATGTAACCGGACACTTAATTGCTTAGGAGAAAATGAAATTGATTAGATGAAGTATAAATACGGATAGAGAATAGGGTGGATTAAAGGTCTTTGTTTGAACTGATACCTTGTTGAAATGTTGAAGATGTTTAAATCAGGTCTGTTTTCCTCCATCAACAATGCTCTTACAGAAAGATGCTCTAACATTAGTCGTAAGAATTATGGCTTTGATACTTCCAACCATATTTAAAAGCAGCTATCTAGCAACTAGACCAAAAAAATCTCAATGTTCATTTAGTGCTATAAGAAAATCATAACAACTTTAAGAATTTGAAGGAATGCAAACAAACATTTTCTGAATTTGCCTAATCGTCTGGGGTTATTAGTCCTTAAAGTTGTATAGTTAACTGTTCCACCAACCACTACAGTATGTTAATTTGTATATGAATGTTTTTGGTGTTGATATTTTCTCAATTAAACCATCCAGATAACAGAAGATAACAAAACCAAAAGAATTTCTGTTATTTTAACATGTAACGTGAGAATTACAGAGGCATGTGATGTCATGGTTTACTTATTTTCCAAACTTCATCGTTTCAATCAAAGATCTATTCAGGCAGTTAACCTGGGGTTCTGGTGGGAAGCCGTGACCAGTAGGGTATAGCAGGTTGAAGGTGAGGCAGTAACTCATTCAAGAAGACATTGCACAATGGTCGCGCTATATCGTGAATTCGCAGAATTTCGAATTGATGGGCTGGCCATTGGACCGGGTTCCAGTGGCTTAGTGGTCTACGAGCTCGCCTTCTAACCAGAAGGTCCTGGGTTAGAACCCCGGTGGGTGCGTAATGATGAAGAGTCCGAAACTGGGATGAAACAGCTGTCCAGTACTCCTTGAAGGTTTTGCCATGGTTCTCTAACTGATGTCAGCTCATGATGAAATCCTCCAACCAATCAATCAAAATAACGTTGTCTGTGTAACAGGATTTTACTAAACAGTGAGAAAAGCCTTCTGTAGTCAGGTTATTTGATTTGAAATATGCATAATATTTTCACAGAGCTTAAAGTGACACGAATTCAAATAATACATGACTTTAAAGCATCCTGGCTATTTTATTTGTGTTATGGAAAACTTATTTTAATGCAGCCCTAGCGGATAAATTTATTAGTTATTCAGTTCCCTGGGTTGTCAGAAATTGATCAATTTTAAAACAATGATCATTAATATTCATATTACTACTGTCGTGATTTATGCATTATTACCAAGCCCAAATTTTTACTTTTAAGTAATATTTAAATTGTAAGCTGGAAAGTTATACTTCTTTTTAAACAAGAATAAAAGTGTATTTAAATCAATTTAGTCTTTTAGTAGATATATACTCTAATTCCTATTCAAATTAGTACTAAAGATAAAATAATAATTCAGTATGTAACCCAATATAAATAATGATAAACTGCTTAAAAATAATTCACAAATTCGTGAATCCCTTCTACTACAATTTCTCAAGTGCTCAGTCTTGATATAATTAGATTAGCTGTTAGCTGTGGCGGAAAATATGGCTAAATGACTGCAGGTATTCTCGTAGTACACAAACAAAATATATCTAAGCTTCATATGTAATTACCGATAATAATTATTATTATCATTATAATTTCATTAGGCTCCAAGTGGAACACGCGGCTTCAACAGTACATCTCCATTTCATCCTCTTTTCTCCAGTCGTCTGTAGCTGGCTCCACGATCACCCATAAGCTTTCGCCTCCTCCTCATACGATCTCCTCCATGTCTCCCTAGGCATCCAAGTCGTCCTATTCGGGTTCCAACCGAGGATCTGCCTGGTACACAATGTCTCTCAGCGGTCTCCTCAGTGTGTGTCTGGTCTATCTCCATTTCCTTCTGCATATTTGTTGATGAATAGGTTCTTGGTTGGTTCGTTTCATTGGCTGTTTCATCTTCAGTATGGAGTGAAAGCGACCGTTGAGAAAGTCTTCAGCAACCTGATAGAAATGCTTTCGGTGATGCGTCAGGTCTCTAGACCATACAAAATAACTGACTAAATACTGGTATTGAAAATCCAAATCTTAACCACCAAAAATTGGTGAATATTAAAAATAACAGGGTGACAATTGCCTTTCGATAGTTTTCAAGCTAACAAATTATTATCGAAGCTTAATGCATAGCTGCTGGGTCATGGTCTAGAACTGAACCACACCAACGCCGAAGTACCCTTGATACAAAGCAGTAATTTCGACTATTTTAATATTTTATCCACTAGTCAGTATATACGCAATTAGTTATTTTACCCACTGATTTACAGTAAGAAGCGATATATACGCAGACAGGAAATTCGTAAATTAAATGGCTAATACCATCTTGCAGAAAATTTAAGATTACCTTGTGTTTGATACCCATTGCACTATACAGCAAATGTTTATCTAGTATTATTATGTGGCATAAATAGGATCCTTGCAATTTATTTTCTATATATATTTTTTATTTTGTACACAAGGTGCTTTCCTAATTCCGTATGGTCTAATGCTTCTATTTGGCGGTATTCCTCTATTCTATATGGAGTTGGCACTGGGGCAATTCATTCGTAAAGGCGCAATCACATCATGGGGTAGAGTATGTCCCCTTTTAAAAGGTTAGTCTATCAGAACATAAACAGACTTCAAATAACTATTCCTGCTGTTTTAACAAACTTGTTTTCTTAAGGAAACAGATTACTTTCAGATGTTAAAACTCAGTTTATAAGAAGCTTCAGTAAGTATTTTTATTGTTATTTTGGTAATCTAGTGGGTAGTAATGATGAAGTTTTATTCTTATGATGAATTCTTATTTATTTGTTGCTTCATTAAATCAAAAAGAAAACATCTATCTCGCAGTGGAGTAAAAAAAAATGTCGAAAACATGTTCAGTAAACAATACTAACAAAAGTGAACCATTCTACATTATCAATACTTCTTACGTTTACAGATAAGTGGTAATTTAATCACTATACAGGTTTCACATAACCCCATTAATATGCATTAAGATGTTGCAAGTTGGTATTCACGTAATGATAGAAGCTGACTATACATTCTCAGATCTCAAATGTGTTATGCAAAGGTTATGTTTGAGGTCATATGTTTTCAGTGGAAGTACACGCCATAACGTAAGCTCAGAAGTTTGTTTTGGTAATTTCAACTTATCTTGGCACAAGACATATATATTATTTGAACACTACTGAATTTAAGCATACGTTCAAAAGTATATTGTTAGAAAGCTTGCTGAATATAGTTACAGAAAAGGAAACCAAAGCGGAACTACGTTTGTGAGAACTGATCCGAATCTGTGTTTTTCCTGAACACATAAGTGTACTTCTTTATCCTTTATTAGTTATCGTTTTACATAAACATAATAAATTTAAATGTAAAATCATGAAATTAACACTCACAGCCGAGTACATCCGTAGGCATTTCACTGCTAATGTCTTTTGCATTATTAAGCTGCAAATATACCAAGGAAACAGTAGCAAATGCCTGCCACTGAGCGAAAATCTCTTGGTGTATTTTGATGACCAACATCTACTATATTCCAGTTGTCATATTGCAGTTTTGATGTATATTGGTAACAAGAACAAGTAGTTAGTATTTCTTGTAGTTATACTTGTAGAGGGAGAAATGACTTTATTTGTTATTCAGGAAATGATAAACAGACACCTGATTTTAGAGTCAATTAAAAAGGCAACCTTTAAAATATATCGGACTATTATGCTAGGTAGTTATCCTCATGGTACTACAGTGTTATCAGCTACTCCAGATTGTTAAGCAAAGTTATCTTAAGGAAACCTGAAAACAAGAGGCAAACTGTAAATATATAGACCATATCAGAACAAGAAATCAGGGAGAAATTTGTGGTGAAATTAGTAATCCATTGTTAAAAAGACAACAGAGCAAGGATTAAAGCCGAAACATTATAATACTACATTTGGTATTATTGCATTGCAACTGATAAAATTACATGGAGAAGGCTGAAGTGGGTTGCATCTGTGCATATTTTCAAATACTGCCTCATAAACGATTTCCTCAAGTATTTCTTTCAATATTTCACCCACAGGTGTCGGCTACAGTGTCGTACTGGTTGCATTCTACACTGATTGGTTCTATAATATGATAATCGCATGGTCGCTTTACTATTTAGGCGTATCATTTACAAGTAATTTACCTTGGATGACATGCGGTAATTCATGGAATACAGAAAGATGTACTGATATTCATTTAACAACCAATGATTCTGTTATTACGTGGAAAAATCTTACTAATCAAGGCAGTAATAATAGTAATACTTTCCCAGTTGAAGAGTTTTTCAGGTTAGTTTACATTTACTCTTTGAGTGTTTTATTCATTATGTTCAACGTTAAAGATTGTACAACATGGTAAAGTTATCAATAAGCAAACATTTCTTGAACATGTGTATAAATTGCAAGTTCTCAAGCTAAGAAGAAAGTAATAGTAGTAGTGGCCCATAGGACTAGTTGGAATAGCGTGCTTGAACAATGACATTTTCAAAAAATGAATGTGAGCAGAGAAGGATAAAAACGAAGAATAAAAGGCTCATCATTCTAGGTAACATAATCGTGTCTTGGGTCAAATCTGTGGCAAATAACCCAGACAATAGAAAGTTGATTACTTCTCACTCGTTTTGGAATAATAAATGAAACTGCAGACTTGACTTTTGTCTAGTGGAAGCTTTCTTTAGTGTGTAAACAGATAATGAAATATAGATATAATTAATTTGATCTATTACACAATGCACAAACTTTTCGCGGACATTAAAAGAAGCCAGACACCAGTGAGCATCTCATTGATATTCAAGTATTGGTTTGTAGGGATTTGACTGATTGGCCCTATTCAGGTAAGTAGTTACCTGGTGAGTTCTAGTGAGAAGTCATGACCAGTAGGGTGCAGCAGGTCGAGTGTGAGGACAAATACTCGCCGAAGACATTGGCTAGGGGTCGCGCTATGTCGTGAATTGGCAGAAGTTAGAATTCATTAGCTATCGGATCGAGTCCCAGTGGCTTAATGGTATACGAGCTCGCCTTTTAACCAGAAGGCCCTGGGTTGGAATCCCAGCGGGTGCGTACTGATGAAGAGTCCCAAACTAGGACGAAACAGCTGTCCAGTACTCCCAGGTTTTCCAATGGTTCTCTAACCAATGTCAGCTCATGATTAAATCCTGTAACTAAAGAGAGTAATGTTTTTATCAGGTGTTGATCTGCAGGGGTTTGATTGGTCACACGTTCGATTATCAGCTGACGTCAGTTACCGAACCACTAGAAAGCCAGGGAGTGGAGTCCATCAAGTCAAGTAAGGTAACAGTTACTTACCTATAACACTGGCTGTAGATTGCGGTATATACGCTTCAAAGCTGCAGAAGTTGGAATTTATTATCCGTTGGATCGGCTACCAGCCAGGTGAGAGCCTGCAGGGAGTTGTCATATCAAGTGGTGACAAATAGTTGTATCCAACAGGGATGCCCACTGTCCCCATTTCTATTCAATTTCATCACATATGTACTAATATAATTAACCCTAACTCACTTCAGCGACTTAGGGATTGACTTGTTACCGGGGAATAATCTCGCTGACTTAGAATATGCAGATGATATAGTCCTCCCTTTTGGGCGAAGGCGCTAACAAAATGCAGAGCCTTCTGAACACTTTGAGTTGCAATCTGCGTTTGTTTGGCATGCGATTAGCTCCCTCTGTCAAATGAAAGATGATGCTACATGACTGGACTACATAAACTTCTAGCATAAAAATAGGGAGTGAATTGGTCGGTGGAGCGTGTTGACCACTTTACTTATTTGGGAAGTTGCATCAACTTCAACGGGTTGATTGCTGACGAAATCTCAGCACGGATTCAGAAGGCTAGTTTCGTATATGCTAGTTTACGCTGTCTCTGGCGTAGACATGATATCCGGCTAATGACCAAAGGGCAGTCCGCTCCGTCCTCCTTTATGGCTATGAGACCTGGCCATTGAAAGTGGAAGATATGAAAAGCCTGGCTAGCTGTCTTTGATCAAAGATGCCTGCGTTCTATCTCCCGTGTGAAGTGGTATGATAGAGTGAGCAATATTGAGGTGAGGCATCGCTCGAGTGCTAGGTAAGGTGGGGAAATCAATAGACGAGGCTGTGAAGTTACACCGATTGAGATGGTTAGGACATTTGTTACCCATGCCTAGCCATCCATCTCCTTTCTCGACGGGTAATGTTAGCTGACACATAAATTAATCAGGTTGGAAAAGAGCTAGTGGTGGTCAAATGAAAACATGGCATTAGTCCATGAAATCTGTAACAGCTAGTTTGAGTCATATAAAGAGGTGTTAACTCTCTGGATGGCCCTTGGGATTCTAAGAACCAATGGTTAAGACTATTGGTGATGAGGCACAAAAATTTTCTCAATGGTGCAGATGCATTCACTCTTTGTGATTTATAATATCCAATAAAATGCCATTGTTCTTCCAAATTACTATTCTTTTTTCCTCTTATCTCCGTTTATTATCTCTCTTTACTCTCTTATCTTGCTTTGTTTGCTATATGGGGGCACAGCGGCAACTCGAACTGGTGTACATCTGTGCAAAGTCCTACGTTGAAACCAGTCAGACAGATGAAGCTGAAACCCCTGAGTTTTCAACTGGTAATCTAACTGATGTCAGCTCGTCGTTAAACGTGTAGTTATAATTTTCAGAAGCTTTTTACAAAGTCTAAAGTGCTCTATATGTATGTATATGCATGTATATACTAATTTCCTTTTATATTCACATTTCCAAAAACAGTAATCAAGTTCTCGGTCGCACTAAAGATACAAATGTGGAGAATCTTGGGAAGCTTCAGTGGCAAGTACTCCTGTGCTTTATAGCTGTAATGGTTATTTGCTACTTTAGTCTGTGGAAAGGAATTCACACTTCTGGCAAAGTAAGTTATCACTAATCAAATTAATGTGCCTCAGGATACCTTTCGTGAAGCATTATAACACTGTTGTTATTGATTTTGACTTTAGTAATGAAGATAGCTGACTAACTAGTTAACTGACCATATAGCTTTGGTTTCTTTGCATACGTTGTACTTTATTCATCCCAGAGCATGTTAACTCTACTGATATGAAATCCTTCTCATTGGCAACTGAGACACTACAGTAAATGATGATATAAGAAACGCGGCAGCATTATAGATGACACTGAAATATTTTGGTTAGTAAGTTGTTCTCGAAATGCTATAGAGTGAACAATGCGGGGTCGTTTGTGCTCTGAAAATAAAATTACCTTAAACGAAAATAATGAAATGGGACCTTATGAAATCAAATTTGCATAAGTATCTTTTAAAAGACTGGTTTCGTTACTAATCAGTGTAAATTAGGAAATCATTTGAAACTGAACACACCAAATATCAGCTTCAGTGATGTTTACCTCCAACGTTGATCTCGGATAATATATCAGTGTTTCTTGGAATGAGGTGGTATTTACGACTAATGTTGATTCGTGGCCAAACCAAACCTAAATTCAAACATACTGTCAAAAGTTTATCAGATCTAGTGTTCACTGGTTTCCAACTTTTCTCCATCTTGAATTCAAATACTTCTTATACCTCCATACAGCCGGTAGCAACCCTAGTTTCTGTTAAAGTATTTTCTGCCTCTTCGTTCGCAAAAATATATTTTGTGTCCAGTTGCATGAAAAAACACCTTTCATAAACTGTTTTGTAAATGGAATTCAGTTCATTCTTAAATCAGAAAAAAAATGACTACAAAGTATTTTAGATTATAAAGCAAGATGGAGATAAGAATACAGTTTTTTCAGAAAACCACAGCATTTCAGTAGATACCTTACTTTGTATCAGCCAACTTCTTACCAGAAAATGAGAGTTTGGTTGATTGTATAATAGAGCTGGGAGTTTGATTAATAAGTTAGGAAAAATAATAAAGAAATTAAATACATAAAAGAGGTGTTGTTTAATCTAATCAAAAATTCTCATGAACTGGTGATGAAAAAATGTAACTATACGACGTTCTGAGTATCTACGTAGTTGTTTGGAAAAGAAGAAACACTATAATTTCTACAAAGAGCCATTAAAAATGTCTAGCCAGCTCAAAGTTCTTCCTGATCCAATTAAATAGACTGATTCATCTTGTTAAACACCATTCAAGGATCCTTCAAGTGAACTTATAGTGATAACTAGTCTATCACAGTCAGTCATACAAAATGGATACAGATGCTGTAATGGATTTAGAACCGATTTTTTTTCCTTTACGTTCCCAGTGGAATATAGGGCTTCAAGTTAGAGGCTTGAAGTTTCAATAGCAGTGGCGTCTATTTTTAAGGGATGGGGTTGCTAGCCTCATGCCCAACCTTCCCTCTTTACCAGTCTTATGCTGGTTTAGCGAGGTAAAGGAGTGCGTCGGGCACGCATTCTATCGCTGTGCCACCGAAGTATTAGAACCGATTGCTCCTCAAAAATGATATGTCTACCGGTTAACTTGGCAAACACTGAGCATACATTCGCATGCAGCTACATAACAGATTAAAACAGGAAAGAAGTCTTAAATTCTAGCATATTTTGGTATAGAAAGAGACAGAAAGAGGTTGAAGGCAGAATGATACTCCATTGAACTATCTTCCGAAAGAAGGAGATAAATGTAAATCACTTGAAAGCTTTGAATTAAACACCACTGGAGTTTGAAAATCTTCAACTTTTGCTTGATTTACTTTGAATTAAGACCTTGCTTAAGTTCAGGAATCAAGAAAGTTCCTATAGTTGAAGGATTTCATTTAAAAATTTAAATTGCTGTAAGATATATGCAAAATTTGTCTAACAAGTTGGGTATGGCTTAAAGTTTTCAAGTTTTTTCAGATGATACCACAAATATACAAATAGTTTTCATTACTATATTTTTTTGAAAATCATTCTTTGTCAGGTTGTCTGGTTTACTGCATTATTTCCATATGTTGTTCTGATAATATTTCTATTCCGTGGACTCACACTACCTGGATCTACGAATGGTATATATCATTATATTTGGCCAGATATAGGAAAACTTAAATATGCAGAACCATGGATAGATGCTGCAACACAAGTATTCTTTTCACTTGGACCGGGATTTGGTGTACTTATGGCCTATGCATCTTATAATGACTTTCACAATAATGTATATAGGCAAGTTTACTTCCAATCTCTGCTCCTTATTTTTTCCTGTTACATAACCTACAATTCTAATGCTATACAAATGAACGGGATTCGTTTTTCATTATTATAAACGTTTTTATACTTCCTAATGAATGAATAACAAAATGACGCTGTTTTTAATGACTTTTCGTTATTTAACGCTAATGGTTTTATCAAAATAATATTAGACCAGAATTTAAAAAATCTCAGTTCATATACAGAAAATTAATAAAAGTTCTTCAGCTTGAGGTGATTTTCACTTTGTCAATTGGCTAAATTGGCAGAGATAACAAATCATGTGCAGATTGTTGGACTTGATACGTGCACAAAATTATAAAAACAGAATTTGTTTACATTATGAGACTGCTTATCACATCTGTGTTGATTTTGTCACTTCAAGGAAGGGAGATGTTGAATTGGTTTTTGTTTAACTCAAGATTTATTAGTCAGTTCAAATGGTAAACTGAAGGTAACGCTTAAATTTTAAGTGTAAAGGAAAATATGTCCTCTAAGAATGTTGATACTACTGAGGCCATCTCAAGTAGTTTACTTTGTTATCTATGAACGATAGGATAATTAATTTCAGTTTATACTGAGATGTGCGTCGGTGGCTCAGTGGTAGAATGCTCGCCAACTACGCATGTGGTTCAGGGTCTGATCCCCGGCTGACGCCGCTAAGCCAGTAATAAGACTGGTAAAGAGAGAAGGTTTGGCATGAGGCTAGCAATTCCATCCCAATAAAGATTGACACTGCAGCTACCGAAACTTCAAAGTTCTAACCTGAAGCCCAATATTCCACTGGGAACGTAAAGGAATAAAATAAAATAATAATAAAATTATACTGAGGTAATATCACGACTTCTGTAGATGCAATTAATACTTGAGTAAAAATGCAGACCACTTTGATGGAATTCTTTCGTTAAACTAACCAAAATATGTCGACTTCTGATTCTTTATTTTATTGGGTAGACCTTTCTTAACATAAACACTCGCCTTGGTTTCAATGTGATTTTATTTTTTATATTTTGGTTTTGTTCAAATTTAGGACAAGTTACTTATGTGTTGAAGCAATTCAGTCAAAATTTGCACTTAGTTTAAAACGAAAGGAGCATATATTAATTAGAGGATTGCATAGGTTTCCTATCTCATGGTAACTTTCATAATTCGGCAGCTGAATTAGATAGTTTATAATCATTTAAAAAGGGATTAAACTTTCTTCACATCAGAAATGAATGATGAAACGTGGCTTTTTTATTCCCTCGCGTTCCCAGGGGAACATGCGGCTTCAAGCTTCAGCTCTGAAGTTTCAATAGCAGTGGTGTTTATTCCTACAAGGTGGGGTTGCTAGCCTCATGCCCAGCCTTCCCCCAAACCAGTCTTACCGCTTGCTTAGCGAGGTAGAGGAGTGCGTCGACAGGGGATGGAACCTCGAACCACATTCTACCGCTGTGCCGCCGACGCAGCGTTATCAAACTCACGGTGATAAAGTATAATTTTTCAACCCGTTTTCTTATATCTGTCAAATGCCATATTTCTCTTTTATCCCACTTATTAGAATTTTTCAAATGTTTGCAGTAGTAGTCGAATCACTATTGTTTTAGATATTTATTCCTAAACAAATTAGAGTAATATGCCATTATTAGAAGAGCTTAGCAAACACGATCTTAAACAGGAGAATAAATACATTTTTGTAGCTACACTCCTCTATTGAAGGAAGGGAATTTAATTGGGTGTACAGTGGAGTGCAAAGGATGTACCAGGAACTCACAACATAAGAAAATCTAGAATACTTAATTAATATTTCTTTCCAGAGTGAGTATTTCGTTACGAAGAATTCAGCAATAAGAAACACAAAGTACCCAGTTACTATGATCTGCAGTGACAAACCATTCTTTATAGGCTTTTAGTTCAAGAAAGATAATCCAGATGGCATTTTCATGGAAAACTTTCGGTGATCACCGAACAGGCTTTCAGAAGGGTTTATGAACATAAAATGCACAAGTATTTGTATCTTATTATCACTAGTAACAGACTGTTTCGCTTCATACATCCAGTTACAAACTGAACTATTTTTGTATTGGCGGTTATTTTAAACCTACAGTGTGGTCACTGACACAATGTTCTAAAGAACATCTAACGATGGGGTTGATGAAGTATGTCATAAAAATTAACAGTTTTATTCCCTCATTTCTGACTTATGAAGGCCACACAATAAAAATAAAATCAGTTTCAACAAAAAATTATAAGATGCTTACTATTCAACCAAGAACGATGAGAAGTTATCTTCTCTATGTATCAGGAGCGACCGCAGTTCCGGTGATAAGAAAACAAAAGGGACGCAAGTGTCGTCAGTAATTATATTTTAGTATTAATAGTTACAACAGGTAAATATCTGTATAGACCAGTACATTCTCAATAAAAATTCCTCAATAAAGTATTAGTAAACCCAGTTCTGTGTGGGACTTGATTAATAATAGATAGTTTTATTCAAGAACCCTAACCTACAGAAAGATTATGATCGAAGTAAAAATGAAGATAAACACCTAAATCATTTGAAAACAAAAGCCGCCCTTTAGCTGATGAGCTGTAACACGACACTCGAGTGATTAGTCACCAATCTCTTGGAAACTTTAAATTATATCAGAAAAACTTTCCTGTAAAGCAGGATGGTTAGGCGTTCAAAAAGAAGCTACTGACCGTTAGGCAAGGTATACGTTTGGAGTGAAAACTATTTGTGCAGCCTATGTGATCAGCTGTGTAATGGTAGAAGTGTTAGACACATGTCTGGTAATTTAATCAGGAACGATAGATCTAAGTTTTCATGATAAACAAATTAATACTTTAGTTTGGTGAAATAATCTTCTGTTCGACTAATATGTCATCTAAGTTGTGATAAAAAAGGGTGATAATACTTCTTCATTCGTTTTTTCAAATTTTACTATGTGCTAAAAAGTGGTTAGAAAAATACAGTAAATAGCTGTGAATTTATTTCCTTACAAGGCAGTGGACAATTCAGGAATTTAAATGATTTATATGATGAGACTTGACATAGTTTAATAACTTTCAGTGTGTTTTATTTTAAATAAATACATTTTGTTTTATACTGCCTTTAACAATTCTTTTGCTACCGTTCTGTTGATAAAGGGATGCAATAGTTGTGGCGTCAATCAACTCATTGACAAGCCTGTTATCTGGGTTCGTGGTATTTACATTACTGGGTTATATGGCGTATAAACGTAATGCACTTGTGTTAGATGTGATACAGGATGGTGAGTCGACTCCTTTGTTCCCTTCTGTTTCATTATTTATTTTCAAGTATTTTACGCTATGCATTTTGACTTATAGTGAACATCTCATGCCAACCAAGCCTTCAATACTAACGGTTAGTTTTAGCATCGACTGTGCTTTTGAATGGATAAGTTAAAGTGTCATACAATGACAGTACTTAAATGCTTCGATTAACAAACTTAGTGATGTGTCCATTATGTATTTTCACTAGAAATTACAGAAAAAACTCTCAGCATTTATTGGACATAAATGGAATCACATTTGCTGTGAAAGAAAAATCAATTCTTATGAAATTCGCTTTTTATTCTAGTTTCACTTAAGGATAAAATTGAAGGAATACAACACTTAGTAGTTCCCTTTCATTGTTAAATGAAACATATAAGTTAATCGGAAAGAGATTATCTCACCTAAATGTCTATCAGTAGCATCTAGGGAACTATTTTTTCAGTGTGAAATCAGTGCTAAGTTACTTACTTACTCATGAAGTAAGATCCACTTCATCAATATGCCGAAAGCTTTGATTTCTTTCTTTCTGAAACAATGGCATTCTGTCCTTTGCTTATTGTTATCATCTTGAAAGTTTAGTGATATTTTGATTATCATTTCCAGGCATTTTCTTATGATACAACTAGACTAGAAATGACTTCATGTTTGTCAAACAGTTCATTGTCTATAAGCCGATGGGTTGTCTAATTCACTTCGAAAAGTTAGTTCGAAATGACACAGTGATTTCATGTGTAATGTTTGTCGCGATCAGCCATTTAATGAACTTAACATATGCAGTGAATAAAGCTCTACGAATGTTCACGGAAAATGATTAAAAAATAAGTTTATTTCTCTGACGCTTTTACTGAAGTAATTCGTATAGATCTGGGATAATGATATTAGGACAAACTGCAAATAATTCACTATTATAAATTCATTTCGTCTAGTGTTTTCGGATATCCTGCTGATGATATGTCTTGATGTAGTAGTTTATCTATCAGAAAGAATGATTTGCCTCTTTCGGGATCGATTAAACACTACAAAGTTGTGTTTATTATGAAACGGAGTATTTGTGGTAAGTAATAAACTTAAATTTTTGTGAAACATTTAAGCTACTCAATAGTAGTATAATTCTCACTATAAAATTGTTTGGATAAGTAACAGGTATTTCGAGAATAACATTGCAGAAAAATTAGTCCAAAGTCATTTGATTAACTTATTTATCTGGTAGCTTATTAGAGACGGTCGTGTAGAATTAATAGAGGTTTCCTTTAGAGCTGTATACTATTGACTGACTAGAATGGGTAGTTATATACTGCTCATGTCAACCAGTAGTGCTTGCCAGCCAAATCGAGGTGACGTAAACACCTGAAGGTCATTTCGCCAGTTTCCGGCCGAGCTCATCAGGGGTACACTCGGTTTGACATAGCTCAGAGAGTCAAATCAGTTCAGATCAGAACCGATTTCTGGCTAGCTACTTGGGTGAATAAGTGAAACCATAAATCAAATTCCTAATTTGCAAACTGGTTAGCAATTCAAAATGTACGCAGTTTGAGCAGTGAAATTCTCACCGCAGTTTTTTCCGGAAACCACGTTATTTCATAATTATTATTTATGATTTAATTAACTGTGATTTGTCTTTAATTTCTATAATAAAAGATGGCTAAAGAGAATTCCGCCCCCCTAACGCAGTATTCAAATTCAATTGTATTTTATGTCATATCAGCTGTTTATTTGTTTCGAATAATTTCTATCTAGATCCAGTCTTGGTATTCAGTGTATACCCAGAAGCATTATCAACTTTACCTGGTTCAACATTTCTTTCAATATGCTTCTTCCTTATGCTACTCACGTTAGGATTAGACAGTTCAGTAAGTTTACCTGAGTCGTGTTTTCATGGTATCCTTTATTCTGTTAGTAAAACAATCAAATTTTATTTACTTTAACATTGAGAAGAATTTTGTCAACTGATCTATATATTTCTTATGAGACAGTCAGCATCTATATCTAAAATCGTAGAATTCAAAGACTACTATTTGAGTTACACACAGTATACAAATTAATCATGGTACAAAAATTTGTTCTAGGAATATTCACGTTAGGTTCCTAGTCATTTGACAGTTTGCTTCAGGAGGGATAGTATTTTAGGCTAGTCATCGTCACCTTGAAATTGCAAGAAGCAGATTGATGGAAAAGCTAATTAAAGATAAACTACGATATGTGTTACTGAATTCAAGTTTGTTTATCAATACATCTGACTAGAGTTTTGAATACATAAACAATGACCGTTATTCTTTTTAATAACATGTATTGTGAGCGTATGCTTAGTTTATATTTAGCGTATTATAGTCTGATCTAAGCTTCAGGTTTTACGATTCGCAATTTTTAGAACTTCTTTATGCTGTCTAAGGTGGGTATCATTGTGATTACCCAAATGTATTGGTATAAAGGATGATGCAAAGCGTTGGTCTACTATTATTTTGCGTTTGTGAATAGTGTTAGATGTCGTATTCAAATATTTTGCTTTGCGAATAGTTTTTACCTCATTTCACTGTTTTAAATGATTTGATGTAGAGAATATGTTAATTTTCCAGGCCAACCTGGAAGCTAGTATTAATATTCACGTCTCCTAAACATGTCTCATTCCTTTGAAAGAGTGGCCACCGTTTGAGAATAGAAATTAAAACCTCCTACAGAAGAAACCAAAATGAAATAGTCATCAGTATTTTCTTTTAGCAATCAAAAACTGACAGAAATATTTTTGCAGTCTGGAAATTAAGTTCAACAGAAATCTTATGGTATTTGACGTCACCAATAATTTGACTTCTGCTGTTTCACTCCTTTATGAAGCTTTACAAGAGCCTAACAGTTCTCTACTAAACAGTGAATAAATCAAAAGGAAACCAGCTGAACAGAATTTTTAAAAAGTTAATACACTCAGCAGTACTATACTTAAGTTTTTGCATAACGCCATACTCCAAACTGTTGAAGATTTAACTTTTAAATTAACTGAAATTCGTGGGATGAATTTTTATCTTAGACGTTAGTATACAAGGATAAGAGTAAAAACCTGCTTATGAGAATAAATTATACCAATCACAATCATGGAAATGCAAAGGTGAAAGAAGCAGAGGCTTAAATACCTACTTGTTAGTCATTTTCTATTAAGATCACATTTAAATATTGATCAATATTTTAACTCCTTAATACCCGTTTCTTTTTTTCTGTGATAACTGTAAGAATCAAAGCATAACTCGTATCGAAACATTATCCAGGATCCTAGTGTTTCAAACAAAGCTTTTTATTATGCGGGTTATTAAACAGTCTAACAGTGTCAAATTGGTTTAATTTCACTTAAGTATAGGTTCATGGCATTTTTGTGGCATCTGATGCTCACTAGTGACTGGCCCTATTCAGGCAGTTAACCTGGGGTTCTAATGGGAAGCCGTGACCAGTAGGGTGCAGCAGGTTGAAGATGAGACAGTTACTCATCGAAGAAGACATTACAAAGTGATCGCGCTATGTCATGATTTGGCAGAAGTTAGAATTCATGGACCTTTGGATCGGGTTCCAATGGCTTAATGGTCTACGAGCTCGCCTTGTAACCAGAAGGCCCTGGGTTCGAATCCCGGTGTGCGCGTACCGATGAAGAGTCCCAAAGTAGGACGAAACAGCTGTCCACTACTCCCAAGTTTTCCAATGGTTCTCTAACTGATGTCAGCTCATGATGAAATCCTCCAACCAATCAAACAAAATCCCTACAAAACCAATACTTGAAAATTTTTATTTATATTATCATGTTTACAAATGTATTTCAGTTTGGTGGATCTGAAGCTGTCATAACTGCACTAAGTGACGAGTATCCAATAATTGCGAATCATAGGGAACTATTTGTTCTTGGTTTATTCACATTCTATATTGCGATTGGAGCTGTGGAGTCAACTCAAGTAAGTAGTGATATACATAATAGTTTTTTTTACTCTTGTTTATATTTATGCATTGTAATGGTAATTGGAAAGATTATTTGGGTTTATGTATAGCAGAGTGAAAACATTTCAAGTCAATTTAGATTAAAGTAGGTCAACTGTAAGAGATCTATGGTCATCCACGTCATTTCAGAGGTTTAGACAGATGTTAGTAGCTTTAAAATCGACTTCATTTCTTAAATACTTTAGCATCAGACTAGTGAACATAACAAAATGTTTTGAACTACTGGCAAACTTAATATCTTTGCAATTATATTGACTGTGGTATTGCTTGATCTAAATATAAGTTTCCAAGGAATTATGAAATCGCACAATGTTGTTGAATCAAAAAATTTGTGTTTAAAGTTTTACGACCAAAGACTTCCAATATCCGACTCTAAATACTGTTCTGTCACTCAGTGTGGTTTCTTTAGAAGGAAACTTCAATGAACTCAACCTAGAATCGTTTAGCTGAGCAATTAGTATACTGAAAATCATAATGATAAAACATAAAGCAAACTTTATCTAAAAATAATCACCAAAGATACCCATTGAGTAATGAAGAAAATAAAAGACAAATTCAGCGAAGAAAATTTTCCTTATCCACCGAAATCATCTTCAGAGGCTGTACAGTTTTATTTATATTTACCAAAAATGTATAGTAGTCTATTATTGAGTAATGGGGGGGTGACATAATTGATATAACTACTCAGAAGTGGCTGTAGAGGTATAAAATAAAAGTTGTAAATTAAGTGGTACTCAATGGTACAAAGTTAGAAATTTTGATAAGGTTAAGTGAAAATAAAGGTAGTTGAGCGTCAATTTAACAAGTGTGAAGAGGATTTGAAAATGTACACAAGGAACATATGAGAGCGATAATAGTGAATTAATTATTAAAGTAAAAGCAAACTAAAAGCAAAATTTTAAATTCTAAAAATTTTAAAATTTTTTACAGGGAACTACTAGTGAAGAGGTTAAGACCAAGGTAGAATAAGAGACTGGACAAACTTTTTCTGTATGCAGAGTTCGGGGTTGTATTGACGAATTGCCAGCGCCTCCGCCATACACAAAAGCCGAAACCTGACGCCCTTTGTACCATTTGGCCTCGTATTGTTTAATTAGTTAGTGATTATCCGTCTAGTTTTCCAAGATTAGAAAGGAGTGGTATCCTCAACTAATTATTTATTTCAAGTTTGGTCTTGGATTAATATCAGTCAGAGAATCACTGAAAACCAGCAGGGACTACTGGACAGCCATTTTGTCCTAGTTTGGGGCTCATTAGTAGTACTCATCCCCCGGCGTTTGAATCCGAAGACCTTCCGGTTACAAGGCGAGCTCGTAGACCATTCAGCTACTGGGACTCACCTCAATAGCCAGCCCGTGAATTCTAACTTCTACCAACTCGTGATATTGAATAATCCAAATTCCAGGAGTGAAGGGGAATAAGAGGAAAATCTAGGTAGATAAATCGAATAAAGCAGAAAGTATCTCTTGATTTTAAATATTCAGTAAAATCCCATCATACTGGTGAGCTGCATTATCCGATTTAAATACGACCTGCAACAACACTTTATTATATGCAGTAATGGGATTATATGATACGATGAACAATAGTATTCATCTCTTTGTAATAAAAACAGATGAAGTTATAAGAATTTTAACACTGTTCTAGTACTATAGGCTGACGCAACTGAATTTAGAATGTCATTTCAACAATAATTTATATTAAACTATGCTAAATTTCTTTCTTATCCAGGGTGGTATTTATTGGTTTCATTTATTCGAAAGGACATGTGTGGAATACCCGATTCTCTTGGCGGTATTTTGTGAAACAGTCTGTATAGCCTGGATATACGGTAAAGTGAAAAAGAATTTATCATTATACAAGCTATAATCTCTTTTTCTAATCATTATAGGAGTTGATCGTTTTCGTCAAAATATCAAACAAATGTTAGGCTTTGAACCAGGACTATTTTGGAAAATCTGTTGGAAGTTTATTGCACCAATCTTCATTTTGGTTTGTTTAACATTTTAGAAATTGTTTATATTTTACACTGTGTTCAACTAACAGGAAAAATGTTAATTGAGCTGACTATAGATGTATGGTATTCCTTGTACGGAAAATTTGACTGAGTCTCAGTCACGAAGTTGAAAATCCTAATCTTAATCACCGCCACAATGGAAGACTGAATGTATACTCTCTCTACATATATAATAAATAGAATACTTATCTTTTTAGATGTCTGCTATATTGAGTAAATTAACTTTTATAAAAAGCCAAATTTAAAAATGACTTTATTGTTTGATCAAACAGAATGGGTTGGAATTCGTTTCTCAATTACAGTAGAATATTAAGCTACCGAATAAAGCCTTATCTTAACATTCTGGGATATTAGGGAAGTTATTTGTTACCCATTGTATCCCAGTGGCTTAATAGGTAGTTATATGGCTTGTAGTCTTCAAAGGAGATATTACTACTGAGATGCCGGTAAACTCAACCGAACCAACTCAAATGTGAAGAAACCTGGCACCTATATCCTCGTGATAACCGTCATCTTAACAAGAGAATTATAGGTCCACTTTGAAAAACGTTTAGTGAAAACGAATTTTCAAGCTGTTGGACGACATTTATCTTCTTTTCAAGGCTTACTTCGGACATAACAATAAGGTGGATTTCTGATTCAGAGAATTCTGTAAAGTAGAAATGTTTGTCTTAAAATGCTGAAGAAACACCAGCCATTTAACGGACATTTATATGGACATCTGGGTGACAGAATGCCTGACTATTACACTAAGACAACAAGAATAAGAAATATTTCCCTTCAATGTGCTGACTAACAGTGGAATCAAGGATGTTCATTTCGCCACATTTTGTGCTTGTCATCTGGATATGCCTGCGTTCTCATTGAGTGATAGTGTTCTCAGTGAAACTCGAACCCAGCACCACAACTAGCCACCATCAACCAAAATATTCTCACATTAACTCTTAGACGTCCGTACTTATAGCCGACAAGTCAGCAGAGACTGAGCATTTCTGCCTGATATAACCATTCGACGGAGGGAGTAAAATTAACCCAAGTTACAAACGATATTCCTCTTCAGTTTATAAGTAGCAAGATACATAATATGTGTAATTTTACATGATACTAGCGATAAAAATCATGCATTTATGTCACGAAATTCAGGGTACTTTTAAAAGACTTAATCACTGGTTAGTTATTTCAAAGAAATAGCCTTGTAATACAATGTAGCAGTACATCTAAACATAATGTTATGCGAGCAGAATATGATTATTATTCCCTTGAGTTCTGAGTGAAACATAGGGCTTCAACAGCACAATTCAGTTTTGTCCTCTTCAGCTTGGACTACGACTGCCCACAATCTCTCATCTCATACTCACATGATCTTCTCCACGTCACCCTCACATCGAAGACCCAGTTGTCGCTTCCCATTCGAATTCCACTCAAGCGATGGTCTGCATTGAGCGCGACGTCATTTGATGGCCTCCTCCTCCATTTTCTCCTACATATTTTTTGAGCGATTGGCACTTGCTCGGTTGGTTTGTTCCCAGGCAGAGTTTCCTGTTGCTAATTCTTTCTGGTGGCCATTTGATCTTCAGTACGCAGCCAGCGAAGGCAGCTGTTGATAAAAGTCTTCATTAGCCTGTTGGAAATCCTATTCGTGACGCGCAGTGGTAGTTTCTGACTCTCAAAGAAGAACTGACTGACCTAACATTCGTGTTGAAAATCCGAATCTTCTTCTTTATGCTGTGGTGGAGTGCAGAAGATTTCCAAATTGATTTAAGTTTGATGAAGGCCTATCTTACCTTTCCACTTCTGGTTAGCTTTGACATCTTCTCCCGTTCCATCTGTAGTTGAAACGATGATTACTGTCTAGATAAGTGAAGGAAGTAACCTCCGTTAAATCTCTCCCTTTGATGGTGATTGGTGCTGGTTCTTGTTTTTGCTGCTGCTGGTTGGTTATCTCTATCACCTCCATCTTCACCTTCTGTATGTTCACCTGGAGTCCTGTCTTCACTGCTGCCTCCTTTTGCCAGTTTGTTGATTTTCACCTGCAAGTTTTTGAGTTTGTATGACATCAGACATATATCATCTGCGAATTCCAGATTTCCTAGAATCTTCTCATCGGTGGTACAGCGTACTCCTGTCTCCTCGCTCCCCAAAGTTTGACTGATATTCCAGTTCACCACAATTAAGAATATCATTGACCATAATAGGCAGTCAGCCTTGTGTTACTCCTGTATTCACTTCGAACACCTCCCTGAGTTTCCTGTTATGGATCACCTGACACGTGCCATTGTCATATAGCCAGCTGTTGAATGAGGTTGATAAAGACTTGAGGTATACCGAACAATTCACGAATAAAAAAACAAATGGGACAAAAGTGTGATTCAAAAAACCTAACGTAGAGTAATGATTATGTGTTTCACTGTTAAGTAAATACGAGGTTTAAAATATGGAGGATAATTTTTGGTCGCATCAGATAAAGCCAACAATGTAACAGTATGGGTAGTTAGATGGCTTATCTTTAGAATACTTTGGGTGCATTCATAATCAGACAATCTAATATCCTGCCCTGAGATAGTGCTTTACCTGAGTTTTCATAATTTCTATATAAACTAACTAATAGATTTTATTTTAATTTAGTTCAACATCATATATGGATTATCAAACTATCAACCTTTACAACTGGGAGATTATACTTATCCATTATGGGCTAATGTACTGGGTGGCATTTTCAGCGGTTCTGCTATTTTAACTATTCCCTTTGTTGCCATTATCCAAATTTTACGCACTGAAGGAACATTGAAAGAGGTAAAAACTAAAAGTGGAAATTGAAAAAAATATGTTTTTATACGTGTATTAGTTATAGCTTCATTTATTTAACTTCGATAATGCGAAGTTCTCTTGAAGTAAAATGGTTTTTCAGAGTGATTTATGGTTGAATATTTACACATGAAATGTGCTTTGGAGAATATTGTCACAAAATTTCATCAGAAACGAAGATTATACTAAGAATCTGCACTAGATGACAATTCTGTTGTTTGCCAAGTTTAATTACTATATGTGCTCATTTCAGCTATACTTCCACCTAGTTATATCTACCTGTTAAAATATAAATTCAGCAAATTAATCGCATTTAACAAATGTTAAGTATGCCAAATAATTTTATAACTAAACAAACCACTAAATAAATTACGTAGGCACATGAAATTGACTCTGATTAATGTCTGTTATAGTGCGTCGGTGACATAGCGGTTAGGACGCTTGCCGACCATGCACATGGTCCGGGGTTCGAGCCCCGGCCAGCGCACTCCTTTACCTCGCTAAGCCAGAACTGAAAGCTGGTGAAGAGGAAAGGTTGGGTATGAAGCTAGCAACCCCATCCTGTAAAAATAAACACTGCTATAGAAACTTCAAGCCTCTAGCTTGAAGCCCTATGTTCCACTGGGGAAAGTGAAGGAATAAGAAAACATTTGTTATTGACGATCTAACAGGAAAATGACAAAGTTACTAGGCTTATACTCTAATGGCTCTGCATTTCACGAAGTAGCATAAATTACAATCCATGGGCCATTGGATTCCGTGACAGTTTACAAATTATCAGCAGGATCACCTCGTAATCTGAAGGCCCTAGGTTAGATCTCCAGTGTGTCATGAGTACATGCCACTGAGGAGTTCAAAGATGGGAAAAAACAGCTGTACACCACTCCCTAGTTTTCAATGGTTCTCTAACTAATGTCAGTTTGTTATTTTACTGAACCTGACATACTTCAATCGTCCCAATCAATTAATTCATTCAGCTGGATTATATGTGAATAACGAATGTATGTTTTGTCAACAAATTCTGAGCATTCTTGCTTTATGATATCATTTTGTTTTTCTTCATTTAGAGGATTCAAAAACTAATCACACCTTCTGAATGTATGGATGTCATTGATTCACCTTTACCAAATGAGGAAAACATTGAAAGGAAAATGCCCAATAGCTTTTCAGATACATTTAATTCTACAAAGCAATCTTCAGTTTTAATAAAATTACATTCAACGAATTCAATTCCACATTGGTATAAAGTGAATTCAGATAAATGACATGCATTTGAACATTATTATATATATATATATATAATGGGCATAAAGGTTATACAGTATCTATGCAGTTACATTTTTGAATGATTTTATTTATGAAGTATAAGGATTTATACACACATATATAATATTACTACTTCTTAATTCAGTAAAAGTGTCTGTTTAAGTATCTGAACGAAATAAGCTGCTTTATTTATTCATATAGAATCACTGTAAAAAATAAAGTTTACATAAATTACTGTTAGTAACTGACTTTTGTTTTTAGTGCTATTGAGAAAAAAAGTGATCGCCTTAAATAACCTTTATCCAATTAGAAAATACCATTTAGGTGGTGATAAAAGAACTTCTAGGAAGCTGTTTGACCAGCATGTAAAAGATAAGCTGTCTCACAACAACATGCATATAGCAGTTCACCTACTGCTGTAAAATTAGGTGCGTCGGCTATACCATATGTTGGCTTTCAAAACACGCTTAGGAACACTATCCAACCTGGCTAGCAAAAGAAGGTAGGTATGTGTATAGCCTGGTAACCGAACATCTGATGAACTCAACACATTCGGTTCCAGGATTTCATCATGAGCTGACATTGGTTAGAGAACCATTGGAAAACCTGGCCGAAGACATTGGCTAGCGGTTGCGCTATATCGTGAATTGGCAGAAGTTACATTTCACGGGCCATTGGATCGGGTCCCAGTGGCTTAATGGCATACGATCTCACCTTGTAACCAGAAGGTCCTGGGTTCGAATCTCTGTGGGTGCGTACTGATGAAGAGTCCCGAACTAGGACGAAACAGCTGTCCAATACTCCCAGGTTTTCCAATGGTTCTCTAACTGATGTCAGCTCATGATGAAAATCCTGTAACCAATCAACCAAATCCCTACAACCCAATACTTGAACATTCAGTTCCATTTGCAGACTCCTTCAAAGTCCCATTTGAAGTGAAATCAAACTTCTCAAAAGAAGTGGAATCAAGACATCTGGGCATTACTGAAGTACTAGCGATCCAAATGTTCAAGTCGACACTGTGTATTCAAAAGAAGTGTGTTCAACCTTTGTCTTTACTGTCGCCGTCATCAACCACCAGTTATGTCAGAAATTACAATCCGATTATGTTTCTTTTCCGAACTTCCTGTTTACTTTTGTTATCATTCAGTTTTCGATCCCTATTTGTAATCTTGTTATTCGTCGTAATTTGCCTCTTGACCTGATACAATTTTGGAAATTTCTTACCCCTTTACTGTATATTCACGAATGTACAGCCTAGTTGATGACTTTGTCGAAAAGGTAATATTCTTTACCGTAACCATCTTTTTGAATAAATTTTAGCTACAATTTAGATGTTATGATAACTTAATTCTAATATTGAAGTATCGGTTTATAGGAATTTAATTGATTGGTTACAGGATTTTCATCATGAACTGACATATGTCAGAGAACCATTGGAAACTAACGGATAGTACTCGACAGCTGTTTCGTCCCAGTTTGGTTCACAAAGAAACGACGATAAAGTTAAAGCCCATTACTGAAAATGAGATATTATACTTCCCAGAAATGCTGAAACTAAAATATTTATCAGAATGACAGCAGTCATTAAGTGAAGTTTTAAATAATCGTACACGAAACTTGTTTAAACAACAAAATCTGTAAATAGTTTAGGATATTTTAAAAACTTTCATATCAATCGGAAAAGTTATAATTTTGGCCCTTAAAAATTTAGCTCTAAATGATCTCTTTTATTTATTGATTGAATCGTATTAATTCAGAATTGCACACACTTATGTCACCTATGAGTACTGAAAAAAATTAACATAATATCTAGAAGGCGGGTTTCTTCTCATTTCACTTCAGTACGCACCTAGGACCTCATGCCAACTGCAGTCTCTCATGTCTTACAGAAATCAAGTTATAGTTAAACGAGACACAAGCTACGAAAAGAAAGCTTTACATTGTTTTCGCATCATCAATACTTTGGAGGTCATGACCCCTTGTCATAAAAGCTAACATGAAACTAATTAATTTCTCACATATTACTTAACTGAAAATTGTGGTCCACTTATTTACACTAGGTGAAAATTCCACCCTAACCACTTAAGTAAATTTGATACAAATGAGATCTTGAATGAAATTACATTCTTTTTCAGGTAGTGACCTGGGGTTCTAGTGGGAAGCCGTCATCAGTAGGAGACAGCAGGCTGAAGATGAGGCAGTAGCTCATCGAAGAAGACATTACAAAGTGATCGCGCTATGTCATGATTTGGCAGAAGTTAGAATTCATGGGCTGGTCATTGGATAGGGTCTCAGTGGCTCAATGGTCTACAAGCTCGCCTTGTGACCAGAAACTCCTGGGTTCGAACCCCGGTGGGTGCGTAATGATGAAGAGTCCCATACTAGGACGAAACATCTGTCCAATACTCCCAGGTTTTCCAGTGGTTCTCTAACTGATATCAGCTCATGATGAAATCCTCTATGCAATCAAATTATTATTATTATTGTTCCCTTGGGTTCCTAGTGGAACATAGGGCTTCAACTGCACGTCTCCACTTGCTTCTGTCTTCTGATGTACTTTTCACATAAATCCATGTTAGTCCATTCTGTTTCAACTCTTCTTCACACGATCTCATCCACGTCAACCTTGGACGTCCCACTCGCCGCTTACCTTTCGGGTTCCACTCGAGCTATGGCCTGACGTGCGATGTCACCCAGCGGCCTCCTCAGCGAGTGTCCAATCCATCTCCACTTTCTCCTGCATATTTGTTGGGCGATTGGTTCTTGTTTTGTTTGTTCCCATAATTTCTTGTTGGTGATTCTTTCCGGCCATCTGATCTTCAGTATAGAGCGAAGACAGCTGTTGATAAAGGTCTGCAACCTGTTGGAAATATTCTTGGTGACTCACCAAGTTTCTGAACCGTATAGAAGAACTGACTGACTTGACGTTTGTATTGAAAATCCGAATTTTGTTGTTGATGCAGGCTGAGTGACAGTGGAAGATTTCCAGATTGGTTTCAGGTTGATGAATGTGTTACTCGCCTTCCCGATTCTCGATTTGACATCCTCGTCTGTTCCTCCTGTAGTTGAGACAATGCTCCCTAGATAAGTGAATGAAGTAACCTCTTTCAAATCCCTCCCTCTATGCAATCAAACATAAACATAAATTGAAAGATATCTGATTTAAATCTGAAGCATTTATATTTTCAACCACTCAATGGATTATTATCATTTTCTATATCAGGACAGCCATAACAGCCTAGATGATAATTAAAATAACCGTTGCAAAATAATTAATTAAGTCTTTCATGCGTAGGTTTATTCAGTCAAAATTAATGGTTTCACACACTTATTGACTTTTCGCTACTTTTTGTTCCCAACCAATTGATTAACAATCTATTTTGGATCACATTTAAAGTTAGCACCTTTTATAATTAAGGGAGGATAGGAATTCTTTTACGCCAGGTAAAATGTTTGATGATGATTACAAGAATTTTCATACTCCATAAAATCACTGCTGTCATCTTCTTCATTGTTATCCTTGTTATCTTTACAACAAGATTGAGAAATAAAACAAGGTGATGGGGTTTTAATATGGTTTTCGCAATGAATAAAATTCTGTTGAATGTTCAATGGCTGTAGAATAGTTTGGGTCATACCATTATTGTACACTAATGATGTCGTCGTTTTAGTTGTTGTTGACTTTGTAGCAACTGTTAAAGATCCTGGAGAATATGATGAACTGTTTGTATGAAATACAGGATAATTTATTGCTTTCATAATAGATTTATGTGTATAACACCGTTGTCTTGGAGAGAACTTCTTTCTACCTATTTTAACAAAGTTTTTAAAACAGGAGGAATCTGATTTACAACCATGAAAGATGCATACATGTTTTCTGAATATTTTACTCTCCAGAGGTGTATTTGAACAAGATGCCAAACACTGACTGATGCTGTTATTTTGTATCGACGTATTAAGAATGTTTCTGGCCTTAAGATTTGTTTGTGTAATATTGTTAGCACCTTTGGCAGATGGAGAATTTATGTTTTCGCCAGTGGCATTTTCGTTGTCATCACCATCATCATAACCTTCATTCTCATTTAACTTATTCCATTTAAATTTCTCCAATTTTGAAGTAGTTTTCAAGTCATCTGATGAAATAGAAGAGTCGTTGGAATAAGGATTAGTGGATTTTGATTTTCCTTTACCATTATAAAGAACCAAATTAGGTTTAATAAGATTTTCAGAATAATTTACTCTTGACACTGGTTCGGTCTGATGGTGACTAAAGGAAAAAAAGGGATTCAAGAAGAGAAATATTTCATCATTTCTATACAAATCATTCAGCTAACAAAAATCGTCACCGTTATCCAAGAAAAGAGCTGTCTATGGTTGTGAATAGTTTTTATAACGGTCTATTGTGGTTCAAAACCCTACGCTTTGGTAAATACACAAAGGCGAATCAACGTAAAATCACTGACTTAAGCCTCATGGCGGTTATTACAGGTCTACAGGATATTTTCGCAATCCCAAGAAATTGGCTCTAGTTTCACGCAGCACTGTATTCTCAAAAGATTCTGATAAGTTGTTTTATATGTTGTATTTAAAGTCAATAAAATCCAAGTTAGTTTTCAAGCAAGTTATTCATTTTCCAAAGACACAAAATGGTGGTGGATGTTAAGTACCCCCTCCCAAAGGGTTGTACAGAAAAGTATTCGCCTTGTAGGGTAGTGTTGTGGGGTTTAATTCCTCACTAGTTGGAGGATTTCATCATGAGCTGACATCAGTTACAGAACCAGTGGAAAACCTAGGAGTACTGGACAGTCGTTTCGTCCTACTTCGGGACTTTTCATCAGTACGCATCCTTCGCCAGGGTCCGAACCCAGGAGCTTCTGGTCACAAGGCGAGCTCGTAGACCATTAAGCCACTGGAACCCTATCCAAAGGTCAATTCATGACATAGCGCGATCACTTTGTAATGTCTTCTTCGACGAGTTACTGCCTCATCATCTTCGAATCTCGGTAGGCACGTGCTGATGGGGAGTCCCGAATTAGGACGAAACAGGTGTCCAGTACTCCCAGGTTTTCCAATGGTTCTCTAACTGATGTCAGCTCATGAGGAAATCCTCCAACCAATCAAACAAAATCCTTACAAAACCCATACTTGAAAATCTCACATTAGTTAATGAGTAAGCATTACTGATGAGTTTCAAACTATACGAATGTAGATTTCTTTCTTATTTTTGCTTAGTCGTTAACTAAGGCGAGTTGTTGCTGCTATCTTTATCTTTCTTGAAATTTTCGAGCTTTAATTTATATCCACTTACTGAATGTCTATCAATATTCATCAATAAACACATTGTAAATCACAGGGCTAACTAATATATAAGCCTTCTCATATTGTTTCAATCGCTCAATTACCACTTCAAATTGAAGTACGCGCTGAAGATGTTGCCTAGTAGGGCGATGAAAGCTTCGCAAATTAACTATCCAGCTCAGAGGACAAAACCACATCAAAATCATCCACCTGAGCTACAAATCTTCTCTATCATATCTAAGGCTTAAATACTACTTAATATAAGTAGTATTTAGGTAGTAGAGAAGTACTCTTGCAAGTTGCTGTACTGGTTATGTAGCACGTTCGACTATCTTTTATATTCACCAATTACCTTGTTACTTCAAAGAGTCGGTTATTGCTGATTATTACTTTCCGTTGAACCCTAAGTATTAGATAGCTATAAACTGTTAATACTGACATTTCACTAACAGAATCATCATTACCATTCCGAGGGTCACTTCTCATCAAATATCGTTAATATGTAATCGATATTTGATAACTACTCAGGTTCACCAAAGATTATATCTAGTATATTGAAATCATAGCAAAATAATTCAGAAGTTCAAGCGAGAAGGTTATCGTCGCATAGATATTTAAGTAGAGTTTTTGAAATTTCAGCTCCAAGAACGCATAATAGTGACGAACATAAATCTATTTACATGACTGCTCACCTCAGAATTAACAACGGACAGTGCTTAATCTAATAGTGAGCAAATCTAATAGAACAGTGAAAATAGACAGATAAGACAAATTAGTGAACAATTTTTATCAATGAAATATCTGCCTTGTCAAAGAGCATCTGCCAAAATAGATGCAGATACAGGAAGACGATAATCTGTGTCTTCGTCTCAGATTATTATGGATCTAACTGTGAAGTAAATAGCAAAATAGAAATGATCAAAGATGATCAGTTTAACTTGAGAAATTTCATGTAATGGATATGTAGTAGACATCACAAATGATAGTCAAAAGTAGAAGAAACCCTAATGTCAGCTGACTGACAGTCTAAGAAATAAATGTAAGTAATGGTGGGTCATCAGAGCTAAAAAGATGAGAAGACATTCGAGATCAATATGTGTTTAAATCTTGGGCACCGTTATAATATACAATATCATACCAATTAGTTTTTCAGTATATATCGGACACTGAATTAGTATCATTTACTGGATGATACTTCGAACAAAACTTGTCGTCCACAATAACATGAGATCTGACTCCATAACTTTCGAAGCTTGATTTTTATAGTTTTAAATATTCTTATCCGTTTGTCTATGCACATGTAGAATTTCCAAAGTATTCGGGATAGGCGGTGTTATTAATGACGTTGTTTAGAGGAGCGATGAACGCATTTCAGTCGAATCATGGAGCTCAGACAACAAAGGAACTCCCGAAAATATCCTACTACATGTAAGATAAATGAATATGCAGAACTAAAACTATAAACAATCAATTTCATAGTTGCATTTTTAGATTTTAGGCAATTATAAATGATGATTTATGTATGGATTTTTGTCATATAAATGATATTAATTCACTAATACAATGACTACTATTAAATCAGCGAATGTCGTCAGTAGTAGACACTATCTTTAGATGATAACGAGGGGGCTAGAGTAAGAAACCTAGTGGTAGAAAATTTACAGCTTTGGAATTTGTTTATATATGCTGTCGGTGAAAATAAGCAGGAAGATGAGATAAGCACTTCACATCGTCTAATGTATCTTTGAATTCTTTTGAGAAAAGTCTGAAAAGCTTTCATAACTGAATTTTCCAATGTCTTATCTTCAGTCATATTCGTTAAAAGTTAGGTTAACTCTGGCCGAAGCCAGGGCACAGAATGAAATACGATCAACAATGGTTAATTTACATCTGTTCATTTTGACAAATAACAAAAGGGAGGAATCTTGTAAGTTTAACTACAAGACTGTTATCAATCCATCAAATGAGACCTATGTATTCATTCACGTTAGTTAGAAATATTAACCTCTCTACAAAAGTGTCTAGGATGGCCTAGATCAACGTGTAGTGTGAACATTTCAAATATTTCCTACTTAATAAATTTACAATTTCACCTAGCTAACTAGCTTGTTAGTTTTCTAGCCAGTCTTAAGACCGGGTAAAAACGGAGGTTTGGGTGTGAGGCTAGTGACCTTACCCCAACAAAATCAGTCAAACTGCTGCAGAAACTTCAATGCAAAAGAAAAATACAAAAAATAGTTAAAAAAGCGCACTTATTCTTCGCTGGAATCGTAAAGGCGAAGTAACACAGAGGGCTGGTGGAAGCCTTCGGGAAGCCAGTCAGCAGATGTGTTTTCTCTCGATGAAAGCAAGAAAAAGAATGGGAACATGGAATGTCCGTACAATGTACGACACTGGGAAGGCTGCCCACGTAATCAAAGAAATGAGTGGATATGGTATAGAAGTGCTCGGAATCAGCGAGAGCAGATAGAACGGATGTGGACTGTCAAAACCAGGTCTGTACCGGGAACAGATCAACCCAAATGATGAAAGCTATAAAAGGGAAGTCAAGAGAACCTAATTACCAAACAGGAGGAACACGTGAAACAATGAGCTAATCACTTCAGAAGACTCTTGAATTGACTATCGCCTCCAACTAGACCAGAAATACAACCACCACCAACAGCATGAACAAAACTGACTGTCAGTAGAGACCAATCCTCCAACGAAAGCAGAAATCCCAAGTGCGATCATGCCACTGAATTCCAGTCGGGAAGGCAACAGGACCAGACAGAACTCCCCCAGAAGCACTGAAAACGGATCCAGAGACTGCAGCGGATGTGCTCACACCATTATTGCAATAGACTTGAAGGAAAGGTGCCTGCCGACTGGAAGAAAGATTGGCTACTTTGTCAAGCCACCAAAGAAGGGCAGCTTATGCCTTTATCGATGCCAAGTAAAATACTAAATCGTATCATCCTGGAGAGAATAAAGGATGTACTGGATAAAGAACTCCGCCAACTAGGACAAGCTGGGTTCAGGAGAGGCAAATCATGTGCTGATCAAATTGCAACTCTACGCATCGTCATCACAGAACAAAGCATAAAATGGCAGGCAAACCTTTGTCTACCTCAACTTCATCGACTTCGAAAGCCTTTCATCAGACAGCGTTGACAGAGAAGTAATGTGGAAGCAACTTCAACACTACGGTGTGCAATGCCCAAGTGTTTATCAACCTCAATCAACAGCTGGCTACATGACAATGCCACATGTCAGGTGATCCACAACGGAAAACTCAGTGAAGCCTTTTCAGTGAATACAGGAGAAAGACAAGGCTTCCTGCTTATTATCACCAATGATATTCTTAAATGTGGTGGACTGGAGTATGCGGAAGACTGTTGGGAGTGAGGACACAGGAGTACGCTGGACCACAGATGAGAAGACTCTAGAAGGTTTGGATTCCGCAGATGACACATGTCTGGTTTCACACAAACTCGAAGACTTACAGGCGAAGACAGGACTCCTGGTGAACATAGAGAAGGTGAAGATGGAGGTGATGAAGATGACCAACCAAACAACAAACACCGCCATCAACAGAAACAACAACCAACACCAATCAGAGTCAACGGAAGAAACTTAAAAAAGGTCACTTCCTTCAATTATCTAGGCAGTAAGTATTGTTTTAACCACAGGCAGTCGGAACGAATGAAGATGTCAAAGTCAGCCTGAATTGGAAAGGCGAGATACGTCTTCATCAACCTGAAACCAATTTGGAAATCTTCTGCACTCTGCCTCAGTTCAAAGGACATGATTCGATTTTCAACAGAAATGTCAAATCAGTCAGTCAGTTCTTCTATACCGGTCGGAAACTTGCACTGAGTTTTAAGAAATGGATTTCCAACAGGTTACAGAATTTTATCAACAGCTACCACCTTCGATGGCTCCATAGTGAAGATCAGATGGCCAGCTAGCCAGAAATAATTAGCAACAAGAAACTCTGGCTGGGAACAAACCAACCAAGAGGCGATTACTCAACAGATATGTAAAAGAAAGTGGAGGTGGATCGAGTATAGGTGGAGGAGGCCATCAAGTGACATCGCGCTCAATGTAGGCCATCGCTGAAGTTTAATCCGAATGGGAAGAGACGGGTGGGTCGTCGGTGCTAGAGCAACATGGAGGAGATGAACAATTGTGGGCAGTCGTGGGCCAGTCGAAAACAGAGAATAGCAGAAACAAATTCCTATGGATTTAAGATAATATAACTCCGAATTGAGTACAGTTATCCGCCTTCATCTACAACTTTCCTTCACCTAATTACTAATGTCACATGCATTTCCACCTCCTTCACCCATGATCTTTGTACATAGCTTCATTGTATCTTTCGTCTGATTAATTCATTTTCATGTTCTATGTTTTCTTATTGTTACACTTATCACTGCGATGTGCTTATATTGGATTTTCCCGAATTAGTATCTTGCACTGAACTTGTCAGCGTAAAGCATTTGAGTATGACTTTAACGTACAAAAGAGGTAACGGAAATGCAGGTGAAGACGCCAAACCTGTGCAGCCGCGAACACCCACATAGAGTCTTAAAAAGGATTTTCCCCTCTTCTTGTCAATATTACCTCACATGGTTATTTTATGGTGACTGCTATTTCAGGTAATTCAATTTACTTATTCGTGTCTTGCCATTCTTACGTAATTCATCCATCTATCCTTCTTAGTCATGATTATTTTACAAACTATTGTTGATAACCTCCACAAACTAAGTGATCTTGAATTCTGTTATTATTTTCATCCCTCCTTTGCTTCAAAATTTATGTTGTTGACTATCTGTTGCCACTTTTTACTAATTAAGTGTTTTGATGATTTTTATTCATTTATTTTCATCTGCGCCATACCTTAACACTGGTAATTCTTGTTGACTAACATAACCACATGGATGGCATAATTTGATGTTAAACTATATATATATATATATATATATACATATATATGAGGTACTAATTGAAAAGGGAAATATTTCCCTCAGGTTAGACCAAGCATTGATATCAGTTAGAGAACCGGTGACAACCAGGGAGTACTCGACAGCTGCTTCGCCCTAGTTGGAGTCTCATCAGCAGAACATGCCCACCGGTGTTCGAACCCAGGACCTTCCAGTCACCAGGCAAGCTCGTGAAGCATCCAGTCGCTGTAATGCGATCCACTGGCCCATTAATTGGTAAAAGTTAGAATACATGGGCCACTGGGTGGGGTTCCAGCGGCTGAATGCTATACGAGCTTGCCTTGTAACCGAAAGGTCCCGGGTTCGGACACCGGTGGTCACGTTCTTCTAATGAGTCCCAAACTAGGGTGAAGCAGATGCCGATTACTCCCTGGTTGTCACTGGTTCTCTAACTGATATCAATGCGTAGTCTAACCTGAAATAAATGTAATCTCTACAAACTAATTCTTGAATGTATATTTCTTTGCTGAGTTTGTTGTTTTTTTTAAATGTGTAAATTATGTTGAACTGTATGAACAAGATGCTTTTTCTGATTAATCAAACATTTTAAAGACATTTAATGCGTGTTATTTGTTTACACATAAGTAAAATAAAACAATCAGATTAAATTAAAATTGCCGCCTGACTAAAATATAAATATTGAAGAAAATTTTGTAACATATCGAAAGTTGATGCAATGCTGCTAATGTCTCAGTCTCAACAAATTCCATTGTACAGAATATTGGAACAATTTAACAAATTTCGTTTACTTACCTCATATTTTGTTTGATCTCAGCGTTATTTTTGCTTGCTTGAAGATTCGGTAAACATGGATCTGTGTTCACTGAGGACAATTTTACTTTACCGATATCATTACCAGTATATTTATACAATAACGGAGCTTCTAATTGACTGCATAAAAGACATTTTCTTTTTGGTTTCATCTTTTTCACACAACATGTATTTTCAGAATCTGTATAATGAATACGTCGCCTTGATTTTGATGTACTTTTACCAAGTATATTTTTGCATAAATCTTGAGTGTTAGCTAAGTTATTCCCTTGACTTCCTGTTTGTGTAACAAAGCAAGTATTACTTCGCTGCCTTTTTTTTCTTTTCCCGGTACTCTCAATAACTTCCATTCGAGAGCCTTTACAATTGAGTAATTTGCGGAACATAAGAAGGCATCCTTGTGTAACAGCAACAAGGATACCGATGCACGCAAAAACACTGAATCCAAATAGATATGGCTAAATAAACGAAAAAATGAATTCATTTATCTTGCAATCAATGTTTTTTGCTTTGTATGATATGAAATATAAGACTGAAATACTTTTTATAGGGTTCTCATAAGCACAAATCTTTCGATAAATATGGTGAGTATCATGCATTCTAAAAATCTGCTTGTGTTGAATTAACTATACACTTACTTTAAGATAACAACCCATCTAGGACATTCGCATAATTATGAGCGCACGTGATGACTAGAAAAGGATGGGAAAGAGAGAGTAAAAGGAGTTTTTCTAAAACAACTAATCGATCATAGATATAACTACTTTTCACTTAGGTCATCATCAAAGTCTCTTCATTAATATAGAGTACTTTACATGCAGCACATAATTTACTAGTCTAGTAGTGATACGTTCATCGAATCATTTGTCAACATTTACTTCTTGATTTCCAAATACCATCCGCTACGGTTAAGTGAGTAGCAAAAAAAGTTAATTTTATAGCTTCATTGTGACATATACTCAATCAACAGCTAAGTTTAACAAAATCGCATTCCAGCTAACCTTAATTTCAGTATACGATTTCGCCTTTTACATTAGAATCCATCTAGAATATCAAATCCTGTGTGTTCAAACGATATTCGTGCGGCCACTTTCTTTGCACTATCCACCGGTGCAATTCAAGTGGGAAAACTGTGTATACAATGATCACTTTCTCTTCCGCTGCCTGCTATCAAAAACTATTGTTCTTTTCAATTGCTAGTCTGCAAGGATTTGATTTGTCACAGGCCTGTTCACCAGTTGATATCGGTAAGGGAATCACTGGAAAACCTGGAAGCACTGAACAGCTGTTTCATCCTAGTTTGTGACTTTCCAGCAGTACGCACCCACCGGCGTTCGAACCCAGAACTTTCCCGTTACAAGGCGAGCTCGTTAACCATTCAGGCACTGGGATCCGATCCAATGGACACCCCATGAATTTCTACTTCTGCCACTTCTTTTCACTATCTTACCAATTTTCCTTTATCATCTCTATTTATTCATTATGAAATAATTTTAATAATTTAGTCACTTTGCGAAGTCACTCGTTCATTCTTTTTGATTTTTCAGCTTAGAAACTACTCATTAGGCAGCAGCCACCTGGTTTAGTTTCCATTAATTTTTGTATTGTGTTTATTTTTACTCACTAATCGTTCGCCTAAATTTTATCTCCGTTCTGGGTAATAGTAGGTCTATATGTCTAGAAATTATGATTTATTTCCATCACTGGTATATTTGTAAATGGAGCGGTTACATAGTCGTCTTAACATTTTACTGCCTTCGTAACTGTATTTCGATCTTGACTACATCTAGTAATCATCCATATTGCGGATCTGAGTTTACTGAGATAATTTCGATCTCACAAACTATAAAATTCATTAGTTGTTATTGGTAACCTATAAGCTAACACCGTTTACTAAATCCTTCTGTTTTCTGCCTTCTCCTACCTCCTTGTTTTCGATTTTGAAATGCATATCAATAGACGATGACTTAAACTAAAATATTGTAATGCTTGCATTTTAGACGCGTTAACTTTATAACATTTTCTCTCCCATTATTCACACATTGATGTATGTTATTTCCATTCTTTTATGGTTGTTGTTTCCTTGGGTTTCTAGTGGAACTACACATGCAGCCTGTTCCAACTTATCTTCACACGATCTCCTCCATGTCACCCTCGGACGTCCCACTCACCGATTCCCTTTCGGGTTCCACTCGAGCTCTGGCCTGACACGCGGTCACCCAGCGGCCTCCTCAGCCAGTGTCCAATCCATCTCCACTTTCGCCTGCATATTTGTTGGGCAACTGGTTCTTGTTTTGTTTGTTCCCATCGTTTCTTGTTGGTGATTCTTTCCGGCCATCTAATCTTCAGTATGGAGCGAAGACAGTTGTTGATAAAGGTCTGCAACAGGCTGTTGGAAATATTCTTTGTGACCCGCCAAGTTTCTGATTCGTATAGAAGAACTGACTGACTTGACGTTTGTATTGAAAATCCGAATTTTGTTGTTGATGCAGGCTGAGTGACGAAGATTTCCAGATTGGTTTCAGGTTGATGAATGTGTTTCTCGCCTTCCCGATTCTCTATTTGACATCCTCGTCCGTTCCTCCTGTAGTCACTGTAATTTCAAGCAGTTTGCAGTTATTGAGATCTTCTAAAACAGAATGACGCCATTGAATTAGTTGTGTTCTCTGAGCTAGTTGATTTAATTGCAAAGCTTTCGTCGTCTCCCTTATAGACAACATCTTCACTGCAGATTTTAGTATAAAATTGACTTGTTTAAATTCTTCGAGAATGATGTGATTGCATCTCCTGGCTACCACTGCCGTGACTGGTTGTTATTTTACTTCTCTGTGGATCATATTTGTATTGACTTGGAATTAGAATTTTCTTGTCATGTGATTTACTCTTTATTAGCTGGTAAATTTGGTCTACAGTAATGTGTTTGTCAATAGCTAATTCACTTGAGTACCAGGCTTCTAGGAATTCCCTGGCGTTTTTGTGTTTCCCCTATTTAAAATTTCCACATTATCTAAATCAAACTGGTGTCCATAATTATCTGCATACATTGATACAAAAGAATATATATCATGTCTTTTTACAGCCAGTTCGTGTTCTTGGATTCGGATTCGAAGGGGACACCCACTTTGGCCTTTGTAATATTTATTGCAGTTCATACAACTTATATTGTAAATGGTATTAATTTTATCTTCTTTTTCTTTAGGATCTTTCGGTTTGCACAATATCGAATGAAGTGATTGTGCTGGCTTGTGTGCTACATCTATTTCAAACGGTCTTATTATTCTAGCTGTTATTTCGGAGATATTTTTTATATATGGTAGGGTGAATTTTCTTGTGGTCTTTGATGTTGGCTTGTTGTTGGTGTTACGACTCGAGTTCAAACACTTTTTGATGAAATTCTCAGGATATCCATTCTTTATGAAGACGGTTAATAGGTACTTTTCCTCCATTCTCTTCAACACAGGAGTGCTACAATGAGTTTGAATTCTTTTAAACAAGGTTTGCACACAATTCCTTTGTGGTTAACCGGGTTATTACTACCAAAGTTGAATATTTGGTCTGTATGTGTAGATTTTCTATATAATTGTGTTTCTAAATTTCCTGTATTAGTTCTCTTTATTAAGACATCTAAGAATGGAATTTTCACGATTATTTCAGAATGACTTCATTTCATACAGCAAATCTAACTTTCAGTAAATGAAAAATCCCCATGTTGAAATCAAAACAACAATTGTTTTCGAAAACTTCTTCTTCAGGCTCTACAGTTATAAATCCATGAATAATAGAGTGCCTATAGCCAATAAAGGCAAATGAAAATAATATCAGAAACTGTAAGTTGAGATGATAGTCCATTAGTTAACATAGTCAATCAAATGTGTATAGGGTGTATAGTCAGAAAAATGTGATGAAGTGTGAATGAACAATTGGGTGATATAGTGCTGTTTTATAGTCAACAGAATACAAGTGTCATTGGGGTGAGAAATGCGATAGCCACAAAATACATACAAACACACATTAACAAAGGGGACACTGAATGTGAGGGCTGACCGATAATGTCTAATGATAAAATAAAGAGGCTAAATTGTAATAAGATGTTACAGAATTGGTAGGCTTAGTATAAAATTAAAAAGGTTGACAAAAAATTAAGGGTAACGATGGGGTGAAATAAACTGGGTGGAGAAATGGATAATAAAGACATGGTATCACAAAATGAATATAATGATAATTTTTCGTATTATTATTATTATCATCATTATTATTTTCATTTTGTGGTTATCGCACTTTTTGGATGCATAAATTAGGCTTGTTAATATGGATCCCCTCAGCCTCAGCCAAATTCAGTAGTCGAACTCTTAAAGCAAAATTGAGATTCGTAGGTATGCGGTAAATGACCCTGAAAGCATGATTAACGTCAATTTTGTTTTCTGTCTCCACAAGATGAGACAGAATATTGCTGCGAATAGATTTTGTTTGTCCTTTGCTTAACTAGGCAGGGTGAAGTTCGGAAATTCGACACAATATATTTCCGCGCATAACCGAACCCAGAGTTTTCGTTTGTTAATCTGTTGTAATTGACCTGAAAGTGTTTGGTGTCGCGGATAGGTTTTTTAACCTTGTGTTACCTTTATTAATTCTTATGATATATTGCTTGCTTGGTAGGATCCACAAATACTGATGACTTGTAATAATACTGATAACATATTTATGGATATATTGTCCTTGAGTACTGGTGGACAGAAAAGGCCTTATAGAATCAGTAAATCAAGACAGACTTATGTGATCGAATCCAGTTATATAATTTAATACACCAAGCATACTCCTTAAGACAGGCACATTTGGACATTACAATGAAAGCTATAGGAAATACGTGCTCTCACACAATTTCTCTGGTAGTTCAAACAAAATAAACATGTGAATTGAAACCAATACAATATGCAATACATAATACATAGTATTTGCACATTAAATGTATTACAAATATGTCACAAATCTAACATATTTAGTATATGCTTCTTAAATCTTCACAGTTTCACTTTCATGTGATTTCGAAATTGAAACACTGCTACATTCAGTACTTTTTGGAGACAAGTATTTCAGTGAATACTTTGAGCTACTTGTAAGTAGTTAAATAATATTTTACAAATTTTCGTTTGTGCTATTAATTCTGAACACATTCCCCTATGCAAAAAGTGTTTAATGAAAACAGTTCTATGCCTGAATTGAATACTGATGGTTCAAAGTGACATATATAGATCAAGTGACTGATTTATTCATAAAAAATACACAATGAAAATGTCATCCGATGTTAATTTTTCATTTGTCACCTGTACATTAATTAAATTTATATCTATCTATTGCAAAATGACCTAAAAGAAAATATAGGTATGCTTCCACCTCAGTTTCGATCCAGTTTAAATGTTTTTCGACAGACTTTCTGCTTAAATTTAACTCCTACATATTGGAATTATTAAATGCATGTTCAAAGACAACAGTGCAACAGCCTACGTACATTTAATATGTATTTATTAATAAATAAAATAGAAGAGTTTAGTGTCATGTAATTATAGCATAAAGATGAACTAAACATAGAATAAGCACTAGACAGATGTCCGTAATCTGGGTGCCTACACACAGTTTCGTCCACTTATATCACTTGAGATTAGAATGACTAGGTATTAGAAGTGCATAATGCATCAGATAGTATGTACACTTCAGTTATTTTTAGGATTTGAAGAATATAAACGGATATTAACAAACTTTTCCTGCTGCGTTAAGTAAGAAAGGGATTAAGATATGCTTTTATTGCTATAGATTCACATTTGCGTGTAACTCTGGAAAAAATTATGCATGTTTCTTCTCAATAACCCGAAAAACACTTATTCGTTATTTAAACAAAACAGGAATACGTCTTATCCAAACTTCTGGATACAATAGTTTGTTATTTGTTATTATTACTGTTCCCTTGGGTTCCGAGTGGAACATAGGGCTCCAACAACATATCTCCAACTTGTTCTATTTTCTGCAAGCTCAACGACTGCATACATGATCTTCTCCATTTCACCGTCGGACGCCCAAATCATTGCTTTTCATTTACTTTCCACTCGAGTACGGGGCGTGTGGCGTCTCTTTAGTGTCTCTTTACCACATATCCGATCCATCTTCATTCCCTTCTACATATTTGTTGAACGACGGTTGCTGGCTGGTTCGCTTCACTGTCAGAGTTCGTTAAGACTTATGATTTCTGACCAGTCATTTGATTTTAAGTAATCAGCTAGTGAAGACAGCTATTGATGGGTGTGTGCAGCCTGTTAGAAATGCTTTACGCAACGTGCACACGAAGTCTCTGAACTAGATAGTATTGCTCACTTGATATGAGTTTTAAAAATTCAGATTCCAGATGTATCAGTGCTTGTCTTTCCTTCCAGATCCTGGCTGGTTTTGACATTTTCAGCAGTTCTTTGAAACGCTTAAGCAACTTGAAAATTCCCATTGAGTCATATAAAAGTAAAGGCGTCCAACAAAAAGTTATCCTTTTCGGCGATATCATTCTCAAGCTGCACAACTGCATATATATAGTGATTTTTCTTAGAAACAGAAGGAATATTTCTAAAGATGGCATGAGGGAAGGAAATAATAAGATTGAGAAAGCGAAAAGAATCTTTAAAAAAATTACGCATTTGATGTTAAGATGGGTCTGGCCCACTGTAGATTTAATGACTGAACAAACTTCTGTATTCAGAGTTCAGAATTTAACATGTGAATCGCCATTGCTCCTGCGGTTTGAAGAAGTTTGATTCGTAATCTTTTAGTGAGATTCCCACTTACACTGTAGATAACTTGGAAGTTCCTTTGTGGCAAAGAAACTTTACTATATACATACAACTGTATAGCTCAAGAATGACGTCGGCGAAAAGAGTAATTCTTCGTTGAACGCCTTTTCTTTTATATTCTCATCAGTATCACGTATAGTTCAAACGATTCTGTCTAGTCAGGTAAGTTAAAGAGGCGACCTCCATTAAATTTCTCCCGTTAATCATATGTACTCATCTAATGTACTTCTTGTTAATTTTCAGTATCGTTTATCAATCCATACCACTACCTTCATAGTGGAATATTTCGTTTGAAATTTCCTACACCTTTACAGCATTTTACCACGCACATCTTTTAAACACGTTGACTGATAAAGCTGAATACTTTTAATTTTAATTGTTTTCCTTGAAATTCGGCAAAGTTTTATATTATTAAGATCCTTCAAAAACAAATTTCACTTCTGCTAGTTCTATCCAATCTCTAATGAAGAAGTACATATAAATAATAAATTCAAAAATCCAACCAAACCGAATACAGTTACTTACTCCAAGAGGATTACACAAACCTAATTTTGCACAAATAAAAATGCTTGCATTGAATTTCTCGCATAGATCACCAGCGTAAAATGCTGCACAAATGCATTTGAAATCTTTCAGCAGCGGATCCATTAGACAGACACCTTGATTCAGACACAGATTTACTGTACACGGAATGACATCGTTGTCATATTTGCTGATCATATTACTTCCTTCTATAAAATATATAAAATAGTATTCAGGCAAATAATGATTTATTCCTCTGATAATCTGAAATAAAAGTTTTTATCAATGTCCCTTGTTTTATTTCATTATATCATGATTATTGTTCCCTTGGGTTCCTAGTGGAACATAGGGCTTCAACTGCACGCCTCCACTTGCTTCTGTCTTCTGCCGTACTTTTCACCTGCATCCATGTTACTCCATTCTGTTTCAAATCCTCTTCACACGATCTCCTACATGTCACCCTTGGACGTCCCACTCATCGCTTCCCTTTCGGGTTCCACTCGAGCACTGGCCTGACGCACGATGTCACTCAACGGCCTCCTCAACGAGTGTCCAATCCATCTCCACTTTCTCCTTCATATTTGTTGGGCGATTGGTTCTTGTTTCGTTTGCTTGTTCCCATAGTTTCTTGTTTGTGATTCTTTCCCGGCATTTGATCTTCAGTATAGAGCGAAGACAGTTGTTGATAAAAGTCTGCGACAGGCTGTTGGAAATATTCTTTGTGACCCGCCATGTTTTATTTCATAACAAATCTTTAAGAGGACATTATCTCTCACACACATGTTTCATGTTATACAACATTATAACTTGCAATGAAAGGCCAGCAAAACAGACCTTTTTTAACATTAATTCATTTTGAAATCTAGTCACAGTTACCATTTACAGAAACCTACTTATATACTCTTAGCTCGCTTTCATCACACAGCTGCAATAAGAAGGAAACCTTCTTGGTTATAAAATTCAGGTCATCAGCCTTCAGACTGTCCTAGCACTATGCAACTTCAGTAATAAGAATCAGGCAGTGATCGAATCTTCAGCTGAATTCAGCTACTGAGATTTCCACTTGTCCGTGATTTAAACAAGCGGCGGTATGAAACTATGATTAAATACTCAGCACACAAGTTAAAAACACCGAATAATGTCATTTCAGCACTAATCGTGTTGAATTACAAAGGTGAAGAAACCAAACAGTTGGTAATATGAATACTTAGGACTTCCTGAATTCGGTAACCGTATTTTACATAAATCAGTGGTGATTATCATTGTAAAGAAAGTCTGTGATATTAAAATATCATACAATGGCTCCCTGTAATAAACCTGCATAACGAAATAAGAACATCTTTTGCAGGATAATATGAATTTGCTACACTTCATACGGTTTTGATCAGCTGCATGCAGTCTGAATAATAAAGTATAAAGTTATGAGTGTGATATAATTTAAACATTAGCTCATTTTATAGGAGTAGGATATACGTAAAGTTAGAGTAATATATTGTGATCGTAACAGAAACAAGTATGGCGAAGGAAAGTGTATTCTGGAATCCAAAGGTAAATTTAGAGATGAATGGAAGTTGTTGCGTAATTGTAAGTGAAGGTCAATTATAAGAGCGGTATTCATAAAAATTAGTACAAAAATAAGTTTGCTTCACAGAAAGTGAGATGAGACTTCTATGTGCTTTATAGGAGCCAACACTTTCCATAATGATAAGTATATAATGGTTTGTCAATATACGATCACTCAACTAACCCTGACAACTATTTTTAGGTCATCCGCCTAATTGTTGTTAACCTGCCTCGTTTTCTTCATTTCATGAATTTGATCCATAATTTTTTGTACAAAAATATGTGTAGATTCCCTATTTCTACGATGGTCTAAGAAGAGAGTGGAGGGAGAGACAAATTTATTTATTTTTCGTCCTGTTTATTATTATTGTTTCCTTTCATTCCTAGACGAACATAGGGCTTCAGCCGTGCGTCTCCATTGAGTTCGGTTCTCTGCTACAGTCTTCACCTGGCTCCTAGTCTGCCCACACGTTTTCATCTCCTCTTTACATGACCTCCTCCAAGTCACCCTCACACTGACGACCAACTCGCCGCTTCCCTTTCGGGTTCCACTCGAGCAATGGCTTGTCTAGTGATGTCACTTGATGGTTTCCTCAGAGTATGGCCAATCCATCTACATTTCTTCCTGCATATTTGTTACACAATCGGTTCCTGGTTGGTTCGCTCCCAGAGATCTCTGTTGCTGATCTATCTGGCCATCTGAGCATTCAGTATTGAGTATTGAGCGAAGACAACTGTTAATGAAGGTCTGTAGTTTGTTTGAGATGCTCTTTATGACGCTCAGTGCAAGTCTCTGATCCGTATAGTAGCACTGACTGACTTCACATTGGAGTTGAAAATCCGGATCTTATTTTTCATGCTGAGTGCTGCTGACCTGCACACGGACTTGAGAGTAGTGAAAGCTTGTCTTGCTTTTCCGATTCTTGCTTTGATATCCTCGTCAGTTCTGTCCGCCTGTAGTTGAAACGATGCTTCCCAGGTAGGTAGGTAGGTAAAGGAGGTAGTTTCTTTCAGGTTCCTTCCATTTATGTTGATTGTTGTCTGTTGTTGTTGCTGTTAGTGGTATTGGCCAGGAATCTTCATCACCTCTGTTTTATCTATGTTCACCTGAAGTCCTTCCTATCTTTGATGCTTCTTCTGCTAACTTGTTGCTTTTCGCTTGCCTGTCTTCCAGTTTTGTAGGAAATCAGACATATATCATCGGCGAAGTCCAGATCCTCCAAGTACTTTCTTCCTGCTGGTCCATTTTATGCCTGTTTTTTTCTCATTGCCCGCTGTTTATCGCACTATCCAGTACACTGTTATCAGGAAAATCATTGGCGATAGTAGGCAGCCAGCTTGTCTTACTCCTGCCCTCACTTCGAAGCATTCCGTGAGTTTCCCGTTGTGGATTACTTGGCATGCAGCATTGTCGTACAGCTGTTGGATGAGATGTATAATTGTCGGTGGCACCCCGTAGTAGCGAAGTAGTTTCCAAAGCACCTCTCGATCGACGCTATCAAAGGCCTTTTCAAAGTCGATGAAGTTGAGATAGAGAGGTGACTGCCATTCCAAGCTTTGTTCAGTGATGATCCGTAATGTGGCGTGCGTCGGTGGCACAGCGGTAGAGTGCTCGCCGATCACGCAGGTGATCCGAGGTTCGATCTCCGCCCGACGCACTCCTTTACCTCTCTAAGCCAGTAATAAGACTGGTGCGAAGGGAAGGTTGGGCCTGAGGCTAGCAATCCCATCCTGTAAAAATAATCACCACTGTTACAGAAACTTCAAGTCTCCAGCTTAAAGCCGTATACTCCGCTGGGAACGTAAAGGAATTTCGTCCTGTTTACTCAATCTGTATACAGTTCCTGTGTTATTAGGATTTATATGATTATTATTTTCCCTTGAACATTATCCTATATTATTCAATTTGTTTCGCTTATTATTTCATTTCAGTAAAATTTTTGCAGTGTTAAACTCTGTCCTATCAAACTTCCCATTATGTTATTTAATATTTTTCTTAATTATAGGATTAGACATCACCCCAAGTTTGATCCCTAGTGGGCTGTGAGTCCACACTGCTGAAAGAGTCCCATACGGGGACGAAACAGCTGTCCAGTGTTGTGTGGTTTTCTGTGATTTGTAACCTGCGTTATTTCACAATGAAATCTACATAGAAATATTTTTGTTTGCCTACTAATCCTATTAATCATGTTAATTTTACACCCGTATCCAAGATCTATACTTCCTATGAACTACTTCATATACTGCATAACCTTTATTGTCGCCTGATATTGAATTATTATTATAACCACAAATATTTTTCGCATTTCACATATTATTATTATTATTATTATTATAAGTATTCACACTTTTCGCCTAAATTTTTTCACAGGATATCATTTCTTAAAAGTCATATATATACGAATATAAGGCATGAGACCGAAACTTATTCATAAACTGATAAACTAAATGTTACAGTTAGTATCTAGATAAATTTTTAATAAGCAATAATTTCACACGCTACTAAACAGCACTGGAGTGCAACATAAAAATTCCTCCTTAATTTGTTCACTTTAGCTTAGTACATTCCTTCAGTCCTGTGAGATTCTAGAAACAGCAGTCATCAATGCAATCTAAGTAAAGTGTATCTCACAGTAATAATATGCCTCAATACCACATTTTCACATGAATAAATACCGTAGAATACTGGTATAGCCTGACTGATAAAAATCAAACTTCCTAAATAAAACAGAAATACTTCTTGAGATGAAATGTGGCGAAAGCTTTTCAGACTGTAATGATTTGAAAATAATTCCTTTAGTGTATTCTCATTTAATAGTTGACTGTAGTTTAACTAGCTATTGATTTAACAAATGAATTTGTGTACGTTGCACTAGTTTCTTGCGACCGTAGTTACATGATGATGAAATTTCCGGCTTCAGCACATTGTAATACAAATTTAACCTCTGAATTAATGGTATTAGATGGTTGGAGGCAATCGGCAGGAAGCCTTGGACCTAGGTTTCGTGCTAGTTGGCACTCGTCAGCAAGGCGTATCTGCAACCTTGAAGGAACTGATGTCCCTTCTGAGATTCGAACCCGCGTCACCCAGTGCTGCAGTCAGAGACGTTACCACTGAGCTATTCAGGCTCGCGACTGACCTCCTGTAGGACTGTATTGGATATTTTTGATTGAACACTAGTCAGTAACTAGTGTAATGTGTCTAGTCCTATCTTCGGTGCAGACTGAATTCTATCAGTCATGTTTGCAATGTGGCCACCATGCTAGGTGGCTCGCCATTACGGTGCACTGTGAATTGTTGGTATTAGATGGTTGGAGGCAATCGGCAGGAAGCCTTGGACCTAGGTTTCGTGCTAGTTGGCACTCATCAGCAAGGCGTATCTGCAACCTTGAAGGAACTGATGTCCCTTCTGAGATTCGAACCCGCGTCACCCAGTGCTGCAGTCAGAGACGTTACCACTGAGCTATTCAGGCTCGCGACTGACCTCCTGTAGGACTGTGTTGGATATTTTTGATTGAACACTAGTCAGTAACTAGTGTAATGTGTCTAGTCCTATCTTCGGTGCAGACTGAATTCTATCAGTCATGTTTGCAATGTGGCCACCATGCTAGGTGGCTCGCCATTACGGTGCACTGTGAATTGTTG